TACTCTAGCAGTGCCGGGGTGCTTCCCTTTCGGAATACCCTCTTTTGCATAATAAGTGCTGCTTCTTCGCACCCTTTTCGGATTATGAAGGGGTACACACCGAAGGCGGGAAGGGGGGGGGGTTAGCTCGCTCCCCTTTAAAGCAGGAGGGGTGCTGCTATCAGATCTGAACCTACGGTTTCCCTTGACTAATTGCGAAGGGGAAAACCTTCGAGGTCTTACAGAGCTTTGCTGAGTCTACCTTTACACCTTAGATATAAGGCTACTGCGCTCTAATTCCCCACAAGGGGTATAAAAAGGCTGGTATACTTTCGTAAAGTTAGTAAGTATAACGAAGTAATTAGTTAGTAGTACAAATGTACTTCAGAATCTTTAAAGCTAGTGATGGTACGGAGAGGAGCTGCCCCGAGTTGCTATGCTTCAGGTTGAAAAATAAAGCTTCTTACCAGAATTGAACTGATCTTTACTTCGTGAAGGGAAGTTGTTTTAACCACTATACCAAAGAAGCTTAAATTAAAAAGCGCTATTTAAACAAGGTGATGCTAGATGCTAGATGATAGAAACTAGAGACTATAATTTATTTATTAGCCTCTCCTCAGCTTACGTCCGCTACTGCTGCGAGACTAAGGGTCCTAACCAACGGTCAAGAGGAGAACCCTGAGGGCTGGCATTGCTCGTAAGGATCCTTCTGCTTTTCTCGCCTGCGTAGGTATGGTAGCGAGTATGGTAAGGGCGAGCGCGGGTGGTATAGAACTGGAGCCTTCGGAGTGCAGGCTGGTTTTTTTGGTGAGCTACGGTTGCAGGCAGAGTCAAGCTACCGCAGGCAACGCGGCTTCCTTGCGCTGCCTCTGAGGGACAGCAGGGGAGTGAATCTTTGCAGCGTAGGAGGGCTGAACCTATGAACTTCTTAAAACTAGAACAACTAGACCACTGAATCAAGCAGGGAGGAAACTAAGAATTAAGGAAGTATTAAATTGGAGTGCTTTAGTTGTACCAGTCAACAAGTGTATTTAATAGAATTTCTGTAAGACTTTTTTAGTGCTAATTAACTTTAAAGTTTTTGTTTTTTTCCCAGTATACAATCATATGCGGATATATTTTTTTACCACAACAGGGTAACCACTGCAGCGCTGCAACATTCCGAAGGGGTAGCACTACCTTGCTTTAGCATGCAAGGGTGACTGCTGCACAACCCTCTTATTAATATCCTTGAGTCTAAGTAGAACTACTCTGCAGGGACTCCGCTCTCGCGAAGCGCCATTTTGGATTCTTGAGAGGAAATAAACACTAAGGATCCAGCTTTACAAGCTAGTGAAAGGGTATCAGTAATCGGAAAGGGCTGGAGGGCTCTTAATATACTCAGTGGGGATACACTTACGCAACTGCACGTGAAGCTTTGCGGAGGGGGTCCAGATGAAGGCAAGAAAACTAATATTGATACTCCGCAGGCCGGCTGAAAAATTAACCCTTCAAGGGACCCCGTCTACGGTCCGCTGGCGGAATGGCAGGCGTTATTTAAAATATTTAAAGCTAAACTAGATTATATCTAAAAAAAATTAGGTTAAAGCATAGGGCGTTAAATTCTCAATTAAAGATACTACAATCCTTTACTCAAATCAAAAAGCTAAAGCGTTCGTGATAGGGGACCTCTTAATCGCGGATATAGCCTATAGCTTATCGGCTCTGGTCTAAGAGTTATTTTAAAGAGTGAGCTCTACTTTAATCCTCTTAAACAAATTAAGTTACTAGAGTGAAATCACTAGTGACTTGCAGATAAAAGGTAAGGCGGTATACTCCGCAACCGAGAAGCGTGCAAAGCGCGAGCTGCTTAAATTAGTCAACAGCACAGCATGCTCCACTGTCGCGGAGGGGCTACGCTGCCCCACCTGTCGCGTGCTGAGCGTTGCTGGTGGGGCCCGTTGCTTCTAAAGGACTGCTTCTGCTTTACCTGCTCCGCGGGAGGGAGAGCCTGTCTGCGGACAGTAGGATAGCTGTTTACTTATCTATATACTTAGCTGGTAAGTTAACGTTTCACACCTTAACTACTTTCTCTTAAGATCGCTCCAGGTTTAGAGCTTCACTAAATTATTAATAAGAATACAACGGCAGGTTAACCTAAGCTAATCTACTCGTTACCTGCCTTATAGCTAAGGTACCAAGAAGCTCAGCTCAAAGGCCTCCCTCGTGCCCTCCCCGAGTGCGAGAGTTAAGGTAGAGCACCTCCTCATGATGTAAAAGGTTCGCGCCCGCGCAACCCTCCAGGATTATAGCTGCCCTGGTACCCTGCAAACTGCTTCTGCTTTAGCACAGTCCAGTGAAGCTGGCGCGAGCGTGCTGCGCCCAGCCCCCTGTCCCGCCCTGCTCGGGAAGGGGCAGCGCTGGTCTGGTGGTGGGATTGTATGTAACTAAAGAATAAAAATTTTTTAACAAAAACTTAAGTGTTAGACAATCTACTCTCTCCTTTAGCAAAGCTAGCTATCGTAAACTAGCCCTGAACCCATACTGCTCGAGGGTCCTGAATCGTAGTATTACAGGCTGGAGCCTGCCTCCCGGCAGGGCGGAAGGTAACTGGTGACGGGACTGAGCCCACGGCTGCGGATTTATCCCTCCCTTGTTCAACCTCCACTGTCCCTCCAGCGCTGCGAACCCTTAGCAGTGCTGGAGGTTCGCACCAGCGACGCTAGATGAGAAAGCAGTCCTTCGACTCTGGGAATTCGCAGGATTGTAGCTCCTGTTACGCAGTGCGCCCCCTGCGGAGCGCCGTTAAAGCAAGGAGAGGCAGCGCAGCATGCTGGAGGAGGACAAAATTTTTTTAATCGTTGTTATTTTCTATTTATTTTCCCTTATTATTTATAATAAAATTTGATACTTTTTTTATATACCCTTAAAGAACCTTAACTAGATTATTTTTTAATCTTAGTTTTAGAAATTACTATACTTTTAAAAAAAGAGAATAAAATTTTAATTCTAAAGAATTGACTTTGCACTAGGACTGAAGAAAAATAAGCAATTATATCTTTTATTTTAATAAATTAAACCTTTTTTTAAGTAGAGCGTTTAATCTACAATACTAGTTCATTCTTTGCTTAACCCTTCACGCGCTTCGCTCCTGCGGCCCGCTGCACTGCGCCCTGTCCCTAACCTAAACACCAACTCGGCGGATTCGTGCTGCTGCACTGCAGCTTTACCTTGCACACGCCGGGACAGCATCGCTACCGCTCAGCGCGCGCTACGCTCCCTTTGTGGCGAAGCAGAGGAGCCGCCCTCTTCCTCGCTCCGCTTCACACGCTCCGCAGGCCGCGCCCAGTGCGGAGCGAGCGAGGGTAGAAGAGGGAGGGTGCCGAACAAAGAGCTAGGCTGGGCGGCTGCAGGACTCATAATTTTTTGCTCACCTACCTCCAACGGGTGGGCTGATTATCCCCGCTCTCCTCTATCAGATCTACGATATCCACGCCTCCTTCTGCACGCTCCCATCCGCAGTCGATCCTTACGCTCGGTGTGGTAGGTGCGCTACCCTTCCCCGACCCGAGGGGAAGCGGACCGCTAAATTAGCGGTCCGCTTGCGCCGAGTGGATCGCTGCCCAATACCTCCTCGGTCTTTATTTTATTCGATAATTTCACTACCATCTAGATCTCCTTCGTACTCTATTGCTTTAAGGATATATCACTCTTAATATAAGATAGATAAGGATCCGCTTACTTCGGTTGCTTATCCAGGTTCACAATCTGCACAGACCAGGGGCAAGGCGAACGATAATACGGAGTATGCTAAAGCAATCCTACTCCGCTCGGCCTGCGGGCCTCTCCTCCTGTAGCAGGGGGTGCGCACCCCCACCTGAAGGGCGAGGGTGCAGGAGGGTTAATTAAATTCAAGGAGGCGCGGACTGGTACGCAGCCCTTGCTGGACGAGTGGACCCAGGCGACCCCCAAAGTGCTAAAGCAGGAAGGGGTATCAGTTATATTTCTGCGATTCTTTGTTTAGGTTACTTGAGTTATAGCTCTAACTCTGCTGCGCGCGGTAACAAGGTCTCCGCTAGTCCTTTATGTGACGTATATTTCTAGGAACTTTATCTGTTCCCCTCACGCGCTCCGCTCCGCGCCTGCGGACCGCAGTGCGCAGCAGCCGAGTGAAGGTTGCTAAAGCAGTCCGCCCTGCGCCCTGCAGCGCTGGGCGAGCACACTTGCGCGCGGGCTGAATGACATTAGTAGTAATCATTAGTAGCCTTAGTTTAACTAATTATTAATAAAGAAGGGTCCTAGTTTCTAAACTCGTATTACTGCCTGCGAGCGCGAAGCGAGAGCAGGATTCGCTCCTGCGCTCGCCAGCAGCGCACTGCGCTCGCCCAGCGGAGCGCGCGGAGCGGTGGTTCTGCTTTATGCGCTTCGCTCCCTTCGGGGCGCACTGCGCCCTGCGGGGAGATAAATTTTAATTCAGCTTCAAGTTACTTCCTTCTGATAGTATCAACTGTGGAGAAATTAATAAAAAAATATAAAGTAGGGATGTAAATAATTAATAGAGTAGTAAAATCTGTAAAATTGTCATCTAAAATTAAAGGAGCAAAAGAAAATGAAATTAAAAACATAAACCCTGAAATAATATAAATAATATATGAAGGTATCAATCCTGTATCTAATTTAGCAATATTTTTTGCGATCTTAGTGAATAAATTAGACAATCCAAAAGGTCCTACTAATTCTATAACACCTTTATCTAATTCTTCTGATATTTTGTAACCAAATTTAAATCCTTTGCTAATGATATAGTTATTATATAGTACATCAAAGAAGTACTTACTATTTAAAAAGTGTATATTTTTGATATAAATATTGTTTCAGTTAATTTTATTATAAAATTAATATTTTTATTATATAGATATAAGGCTAATAAAGCTCCAATTATACTTAAAAAAGTAGGTAAAAGTTTAATAATTACGGGTAAACTAAATTCAGCCTCAACTAATGTTACATTATCAGGGTGTATAAATAATGCATCACTTCCTTTAGAAGCAGTTCCCGCTAAAAATCAGTACCAATTCCAACAAATAAATCTGAAAAGATATAACCAAAAAAATACTAAATATACCCAAAATAATCATAGGTAATATCATTATAAAACTAGACTCGTGTGAATTTAAATATGTTAATTTACCCCCATTAGGCGAAGTTAAGAAAACTAAACTTATTAACCTAAAACTATAAAAAGCAGTTAAAAAAGCAGTTAATGAACCTAATACAAAAGCATAAGTTCCACTAAAGCTATATTTACTATAAGCTAATTCTAATATTAAATCTTTACTATAATAACCCGAAACAAAAGGTAAAGCCATTAATGAAATAGTTCCTACCATTAATAAGGAATAAGTAACGGGTAAAAATTTAATCAGTCCACCCATTTTTCTAACATCTTGTTGATCAGCTACTGCATGAATAATTGAACCACTAGCTAAAAATAGTAGAGCTTTAAAGAAACTATGATTTACTACATGAAATAAGGCCACATTATACTGACTAAGCCCTACAGCCATCATCATATAACCTAATTGACTAATAGTAGAGAAGGCAACAATTCTTTTTAAATCATTTTGAACTAGCCCCGATGAAGCAGCTACAAAAGCAGTGGTAGAACCGATAAAAGTTAATATTAGTAAAGCTGTAGGGCTATATTCTAAAATAGGTGAACTTCTTAATAGTAAATAATTCCCGCTGTAACAAGAGTAGCAGCATGTAGTAAGGCTGAAACTGGAGTAGGGGCTTCCATACTACCAGGCAACCAACTATGTAAAGGGATTTGAGCGGATTTAGCTAAACTACCCCCAATTAATAATAATGAAATAATAGTAATAGCTAATTGATTAGCACTAGGGGCTAATGAAAAAATAGACTCGTAATTAAGAGTCCCAAATAAACCAAATAAGGCAAAGAAACCGATACTTAATATCATATCCCCTGTTCTATTCATAGTAAAGGCCAATATAGCTGCTTTGTTTGCTTGTATTCTTGTAAAATAGAAATTAATTAACAAATAGGAGAATACCCCAATTGCTTCCCAACCCACAAACATTACAAAATAATTCCCTCAAAAACTAAAACTAGCATACCTCCTGTGAAAGCAGATAAGTAAGCAAAAAATCTTTGATTATGGGCATCAGTTTCTAAGTAAGAAATACTATAAAGTGAATAAGAGTAGAACAATATAAACTGCTAAACCTAATGAAATACTTAAATTATCGAATTTAAATTCTCAATTGATATTTAAAACTCCAGAGTCTACTCAAGAACCTAAATTTAAATTAATAGATTCTCCACCACATAGTACTATTTTATAAAAAGCAATACTAATTAAGATTGAAGAAAGCAGTAAAGATAAACAAGTAATAAATTGGGAACCTTTAACTCCTAATTTTCGCCCTAAAAAACCCGCTACAAAAGAACCTAATAAAGGTAAAGCTACAATATTTATTATAATTAAATTAAGATTCATATATTAAACTTTTAGTAATAAATTTCCTCTTAATTTGTAATATGCTACTATTATACTTAATCCTATTATTGATTCAGCACCTGCAATTGATATTATATAAATACTAAATGTTGACCTATATTGTCATTTAATTCAAAAGAAGTAATTAATATTATAAAGTGCAAAAACTATATTAGTTTTAGATTACAAAGCCTGACGCTTAACCTTTACGGTCCCATATTACGCTCTGCTTCGCCTCGCGCTTCGCTCCTGCGGCCCGCAGCACTGCGCCCTGCTGAGGACTGCAGTGCTAAAGCAGTCCGCCTTGCGGCGTGCACGGAGGGAGGTGGGGTGGCCTCAGTAGTCTGCTTTTACCTGGACCTCTTGCACTCCGGCGCTACGCTGGTCTGATAAGAGCCTTGCACGCTTCGCGCCTGCATGTTTCGGTCAGCCTAGCCTGGCTAGCTAAAACAGAAGGAAGGTAAAGCAGGCGAAGTAGCTCTAAGCCGGAGTCGAGAAGTAGTACTGAACTCCAGGTATTTTCGAGTCCAGGCTGGTTTTGGTTACACCGGGTGGCTGGCTGGCTATATTGGTAAGGAGTTGACTCCGTAAAACTGCCCTTGCCGGTAGCTTAACTCCGCAAGGTGCTTCTACTTAGCTGCAATACAGCAGTCCGCAGTCGCGAAGCGCGGGAAGGGTTTGCACCAGGCGCCCTTTGCGATTGCTGAGTAGTAGACGGCCAGCTGAGGGTAGGGCGCGTTGCTAAAGACACCCTCAACTGTGCAGATGCGAGACTGATACTCACCGCACCCGCGGTACGCGAGTAGTGCTTTCGAAAGGCGCAACCGCTCCGCGTCAACTGAGAGCCAGCCAGCGCTCCAGGCTCCGAAGCTTGGGGACTGAGGAAGCAAGTGAAGGAGCTTTAGGTACCGCAGAGAAGCGCTCACCCTTATTAGCGGGTACTGTTTCGCGCTGTGGCGGTTATTGCACAAAGGGTTTTTCTGCAGACGCGGAGAGGCTGTGGTACCAAACAAAGGGTCAGCCATCAGACTCGGTCCCGCGCTTCGCTCCAACGGCCTGCTGTGCTTTAGCTGCTACGCTACTCAGAGTTCGGGCTAGCGGCCTCGAGACAGCGGAGCTCCTCAGAGCTTCGCTCGCTGACGGGAGGGGTTAGGTATCTGAGTCAACACAGAGGGCCTACCCCTGCAGCGCATTCCCTGATAGGTTAGCAGCAGGCGGAAGGCTGCGGTACGATAATATGTGGGAGTCAAAGTTATATATCGAAGAGTGGGACTCTCCTTTCTACCTAATCTGGACCCTTGGAGGCTACGCCGTAACCAGCTCTACATTACCTGATCCGACCTGCCCTTACCTTGCCAGCTTCGCCCCCCATCCTCCGCAGTCGCGAAGCGCGGCGGGGCGGAGGGGCGTGTCTGTATGGTGCTGGGTTGGATTGAAGCAATCATTCCTCTCATTGAAGTAAGGAGAAGGCCAGTAAGGCAACTAGTACTGAGGTCCTGCTAAAATATAAATCAGCAACACAGAGAGAGAGGGTTAATATTAGCAGAGACGGAGCGCCTGGAAACTGGAACATATAAAATTTTTAAATAAGCGCACAAGCGAGAGGGGCAACTAATATATAAGACCTATTCTATCTTCCGGTATATAATAAATAAAAAAGACTTGTTATCATCTTATTAAGCGCGGCGCATGCAATTAGTACACTTCTACTTTAGCATTCCCGTTTATTCAAGTACGCTTATTTTCGAAAACGCCGAGCAGAACTTAGTTCTCTAATTTATTTTTATACGGAGCCTACGTAAGGTCAATATAATAAAACCGCCAAATATGGATTATAAGTTATCTTAACAAACCCGCGCAGCTTTAGCAACCTGCAGTGCTAAAGCAGAACCACCTCACGCGCTCCCGCGCTTCGCTTCCTCCCTTGCCCTTAAGGGTGGGCGGGCGCGAAGCATCCCTCGCTCCGCATGCGCCCTGCGGAGCGTGCGTAGGGGAGGGGTGGCAGGGCGGCGAGCGCTAAACCACCGAGCCTTATGGTCAGCATGCGCGTAATACCTGCTGCTCCACCAGCCCCGCTGCTCCGAATGGGGGGTGCGCGCCGCGCGCTTCGCGGCGCAGCACTGCGGCCCGCAGCACTGCGCCCTGCGGAGGACTGCTGCCCCTGCGGAGCGCTGCGCGGGGTGGGGAGGGCATAATTTTAAGTAAAAAAAGTCGATGCTAATAATTTCTTTTTTTGTAGCAGTAGCTACGCACCCTTCGGGCGTGCTCCCTATTATATTGCACTTTCCATTAGTAGAGAGGGAGCACAATAAGAGAAAGTGTAGGGAGGTATATAATTGAGAACAGTCGAGTTCATAATTTTTTTATTGCAATCTAAATAAAAAATAAATTTTTTGCAAACTAAATAAAAAAAATTTATTTTTTCAACCTATTATTCCACTAGATAGCTTGCTCTGTCTTTTCTGCTTGCTAACCATGGCTTGGAGGCTAACCCTCCCCCCCCTTTGAGGTTTAAGCTAGCAGGGCTGGTTTTACGCTCCGGAGCTTTTGTTTAGGAGAAGACCTCTTCGCGCCCTGCAGGGCGCCCTGCTCCTTCGGTTACCCCTTGCCCGCCCGCGCTACTCTCCTGCGCCCAGCAAGGGTCGCGAAACACCTGCGGAGCGGTGCTTCGCCTGCAGGGGGGTTGCCCTATTTCTCCGCACTCGGAATGCTCCAGCTGGACTACAGCTTAAGTAGCACAAAGGGCTTCGCAGCACAGCAGGCACGCAGCATGCGCGCATGCGCGTAAGCCGCAAGCGCGTAGGCCGCAACCACGAACCTGCGTAGGGCTTGCGGAGTAGGCAGCATTTGTCTATTAAAAGTTTAGCTTTTTCAGAAGTGAGTGGCTTGTTATTGTACACTACCAATTAATAAATATCTCTAGTGAAAGATTACCCTCTACCTAACCCAGGTTTTCGCCCCGCAGGGCGGACAATCGGGTAGCCCGGGCGCTACTGCCCTAAAGCAGAGGCAGACAGCGGACCGAGGACTGTATGGTAGTATTCACCCTTCCTTAATCTCCAGCCTACACAACCCTCCCCACGCCTGCCGAGTAACCTTCATAATCCTTAAGGTGGAGTGTAAAATTATTCTAGTTCGGGGTACACACGCTCCGCAACCCGGTACCGTAATATGCGGTACCGGGCTACGCGGAAGCGCTCTACTAGTGCCTCACCGTTTTACAAGGTTAAAAATAAAAATTTTTTTTATCTCCCGCAAAGTAAAGGGTTTTGGCTA